CCAAAAAATAAAAAACCAAAAATCGAAAAAAAAAAAAAGGATCGTTTCGAAATAAAAGCTTTGCTAAAATACAAAAAGCTTTTGCAAAAACGAAAATACCTAATTAAATAAATAAATTACGACGAATTAAAAAATATGTAAATTTTAAAAAGGGATATTACGAAAAAAATTGTTTAAACGTATAAAGCAAGTTTATTGGAAACAAGCTTATAGGATAAGGAAAATACCGGACTTTAACGGGTAAATACCCGGAAAAAACGGGGGTATTACAAAAAAGGAATAATAAAAGCTAAAAAAATGGTTTAAAAAAATGTTTTAACGTGCTAAACCGGTTGGCTACCGGAAAAAAACGTAAAAAAATCTATAAACGGTTTGTAATAGCCGTAAAATATCGTACTTTATAAATAAAAAGTTAGGTAAAAACGGTATAATACGGGAAACGCTTTAAATTAATGGTGCGATATATTTAAATCCCAAAGGATATGCAAAGTATAGCATATTTCGAAAAGCCCGTAAAAAGCATGCTTAGCGCGATACGCCAAAGCAATTACCGCATTTTAAACGTACGTTGTGGTAAAAAATACCATTGCTTGCCCGAAAAGGAAATAAAAAAACCTTTAAATGGTACGGCGAACGGGCTTAAGCGTTCGGGTAACGGCAAATGCATATCGGCGGTATTTAAACCCATTAAAGGGCGAAAAAAAAGCATTTTAAAATTATTTATTAAAGCATTAAAACTTAGTTAGTAATTAAAAATATTGGAATTTTGCAATGCTGCAAAAATAGCATAACGAAAGGAAATTGTAATTTTAATTGTAATAAATTAACGAAAAAAATTTAAAATTAACCATTTTTCGAAAAGGGAATATTAATAATTAATTAAAAAAATATGTAAAAAAAATCGATTAAATGCCGTATCCAAAAAAACCAAAACTTTTGGAAATTACGTTTTTTTTGCTAGCGTTACAATTGTTGCCGTTAAAATTGTTAGCGCCGAAGGCGGTACTTCCCGGCGCTAATACGAACGCCGCACCTTTACGGGGAACCGCGCGGCTGTAAGTTTGGGTATCCAAATGCGCCGCAATTATAGCAAAGCTAGCGGCAATGCCATTAAAAAAAACAACCACATTTTTTTTAAAACGTTTAAAAAACGCTTTTATTTTATTAAAAAAATTACCAATACCAGCCAAGGCTTAAGCTTATTTTTTCGTTTAAACGGTAATAACGTAAAGCTATTAAAAAATGTTTTAAATAATTTCCAATATTGTAACGTTGGCAATTTTGCGCTAAATGCGCTTTTGGATAACGGTTTAACGTTTATAACGCGCAAATTGTTCGGCCAATATGGTATAAAAGGATTTGGCTTTTTGGATAATTTTGCGGGCGCGAAATTAAACTTTAATAAGCTTTTTAAAAAGCTTCGGTATCGTTTTAAACAATCGCTTGTAAACGGTATTTAAAATTTTGTAAAGGTTTTGGGCCATTTTTTAAAACCATTTGGAAAATTTAACGCAAGCTTTATTGTTAACCACGTTTTTGCAATAAATATATTTAAAAAACCCCGTATAATTATCGGAGCATATTGGCATACAAAAGTTAACGGCATAGTTTTAATATGCTTAACGACCAAAACAACGGCTATAAAATACCGTACGCTCCGTATAATTGTTTTTAAAAAAAGGCAAATAAATAAAGTTCCAATTATCGCCCTATTGGAAATCGATAACTTTCCGCAACGGAAGCGCGTTGCAAATATTTATATAAAGCAAAAAAAAAGCAATATCCGTTTCGGGGGCAGGTTTATTAAAATCGAAAGCGTTACGGCGGCGTTCGTTGCGCGTTTTACGCTTTTTTCGGCGAAAGTTTTTTTGCCGCGGCGGCTAAAACCCGCCGGGGAGTTACCGGCAAAACGTTTGCGGGAATTTTAAAGGGTTGTAAGCGCAAAAAGGCCCGATGGACCCGCGATATTTAAAAGGTTTACCGGAAAGTTATTAGCAAAGCGATCGTTAAGGATTTAAAGGATTGGAAATTCCGGCGAAACTAAATTTAAATCCGATTAAATTACGATAATTGGGGAAAATACCGGGGGGTTGCTAAAAAGGGCTAACGGGCCGGTTAGGACCGAAAAACCCAAAACGAATACCCAAAAAAATATTACTTTCCTTACGTAATTGGGTACGAAAAATAACATTTGCAATTACCGGTTAAATCCAAATGTTTAAAAAAAACGGCCAAATACCAATTACTTACGGTTACGATCGTTAAAATTATTGGAATGGTTATTAAATGCATAAAAAAAAAAAAAAAAAGGCTTGTAATTTCGAGCGGGAAAAAAAGCTTTTTATATGCCGGTACGGACCCATTTTTCCGAATGCTATAAAGCTTTATAACCGATTTCCCCAAACGTTGCCGGGCATTGGGGCGGCTTAACGGAATACCGTAAGTTACCGGCTACTTACGGGGTCGCACGCGCGGCATAAACGGCTTAAAACAAGCCGTATCGGAAAAGGGCAATATATTAAAAGCACGGGCAAAACCGCCCGGCAAAAAGCGGAAAGCGTTAAATGCACGGGCAAAA